TGATAGCAGGCCTTAGGGCGGATGAGGGTGGATAGACTGTGATAAATTAGCAACAAGATTGATAATTGGACAGTGAGACAGAAAAAGACACTGGCATGAATGTCTAAATGGACAAACAGATGGAGAGACAGACCCACAGATGGTGCTTCTATTAGGAGGGGCTGACTTTGACGAGGTGGACAAACAGACGATCAGACTTACAGACAGACAGACAGACAGACAGAAACTCGACTGGGACTCTCTAAATGGGCGGACAGGAGAACGAGCAGGCTTGACATTCTGATGCTGAAATAAAATGGGGTTGTGATGCTCGGGGCCAGGTGAGGAGAGGACGCAGGATCTCTAAAGACCGCCGACATGAGCAAGGACTCAACTTTAAAGTGTGCATGCAGATGTGTGCGTGCCCGCTTGAGCACTATGCGCATGTGTGTGTAGCAGCAGCGCGCATTGTGTGAAGTGTGCAGGTGCATGTGTGTGTCCAATACTCTACTGTCCATTACCGTGATACGAGATAAAAGTAGTGAACATGCTGCCAAAACAAGGTGCTAAAAGGGCGAAAATACCAATGGCAAAGGATTTCCTCACATACACAGACACACACATGCACTAAATACAAGCACACACATGCAGGGCAGAGGGACAACAGGGACATCTGTTCCCCAGTTTTATCTTCTTTATAGCAGGATGTTCCAAAGGCACACACTGATGTATGAAAAGAGCACCAGCTTACCTTATTTCACAAAATGTTCAACTGTAAAAACGCCATCCCCCACTCCCTGAAGCCCACTGTATATGACGATTTTTATTCATTTAGTTAATCAAAGCCACACATGACAAAATAGTTAAAGTCAGCTGTAACGGGAGCGTTAAGGTGGTGCGATATTTTCGCTGCTCAGCTGAATTTTGGATGCGTACAGTTTTGGAGGCTTGTTCCTATTAAGCAAAAGCATAAACATCCATTTGAAGGCTTAATAGGGAGTTGTGAAACTACAGCTTGTGTAGTGGGTGTATGTGTGTACCGAGTCCCCCCACAGGCCCTTAAGTGGTGTGTATTTATAGAGAGTGTGTCCCTCAGAGGCCCAGAGTCTGGTTATATGAGCCCTTTCTAATGGCTAGGAGGAGAGGAAACAGCCATAGTCTTGTTCCCACAAAACAGACACACACACACATGCACGCAAACAGGCGTACAACACACACATGCATGGATAAGATGAGGCAGCTATTAGTGTTGTAGCTCTGTCCTCATCTGTATGAACTCTGGCCTCTGAGGGCAACATCATGATCGTTTTATTTTTCGAAAATGACGGGAGTAAATTTAAAAAATGATGCATTTCCATCTGCATCTTAAAGTTTAATGTTATTATTTTGAGCTCATCCCGCAGAGCTTGCGTTGGAGGCTTTGGGCAGCAGGAAGGCGGTGATCTAAGCTGACCAAATGGAAATTCCCGTATGCATCACTTCACCTCATCGCTCTTCCTGTGCTCTGCAGCCTGCAAACACAGGTGTTTCTGTTTTCTCTTGTCCTTCAGTTGCACCAGGGTTACGTACAGTAAATGAGGTAAATGAAGAAAGAGAAGGGCCATATGGCTTTGTTTGGATCTGTACACAGGCCAGCCAGAGTATGTGCTCTGCACGTGTGCGTATGGCTGATCTGTACGCAGGCCAGGCAGCGCTGAAACAGCAGCAATTTAACTGATGCTCCCACCATATGGTGAGAGTGATAGCATTAGAGAACCTGCGCTGAACCTGAAACAGAGACAGAGGGAGATAAAGGAGGACTGGAGCTAGAGGCCAGGATTTGTAGAGCAGTCCCATTATGGTGCTCTGGTATGCAAATCATGATACACACGACTAAAACACAAACACCATTGTGCAAGAACGCACGCATATGTCACATAATGTCCCTACAAGTCAGCGGGCAAGTAAATGCAAATTAATGTGTGTGATCATCAAACTGACCAGAGGGTACTTGTGGAGAATACAAGTTGGCTTGTGCACAGGTGTGTGTATGAGCATGTGTGTATACACAAGTGTGCAGGTAACTGAGCGAATGCACTCACACATGGTTGCATAAACATAAGGGGAAGTGGAATCCTGTGTGTTTCAGCAATCTGGGTGATTTATGCCTTGAGTACTGCAGTGTTTTAGGTGAGATCTTAGGGAATTCACAGCCATATGTCCTCATTCTCTCTCTCTCTCTCTTTCCCCCTTCTTCTCTCTCTCTCTCTCTCTCTCAAACACACATTTTAATACATACACCCATATGCACAGACACCTTATCACACCAAAGTACACATGCACACACACTATTTCCAGCTTAAAGGGCAAGGGCAAAAGAAGAGTGTGTGCAGGTTTGAAGCAGGGGGGGATAAGGGCTATAAGGCAGACAGTCTAAATTTTCTGCTCCAGTTAGAGGGGAATTCTGGGCTCCTGCTTTGGGAGTCAATGGACAAGTAGGATGAAAGGATGAAAGGGGACAACACAGACACTTGTGTAATATTAAACTGGTGCGACTAGCTATAATGCCCCAGTGTTTAATTTTTTCTCACTGCAGCATGTTGGGTACAGCTTTCCTAATGTGGCTTGCTATTAAAATTGCACCAACTGTTTCACTCTGATGGCTGCATCACCATCTGACAGCCAAACAGCAAACAAGGGCTGAGCTGGAAAAATCAAATGCAATTAATTCCACCAGGATACACCTCTCTATAATTAAAGCAGTTGCTCACACTTACTTTTAATAGCATTGTGATGCCACATTAGCAGCGGGCGCCATAAACTTTCTTCAGAGGTGGTTTTCCCTCTGTTGTGTGTATTTGTTATTTCAAATAGACAATAAAACCTTAAATAAAAGTGTGAAAAATAAAAGTATTGTAAAATATTCAACTTGGAATGAGTCAGTTTGAAAATATCAGTCTGCAGCAGTTGTCAAAATAAAAAATCCACAACCAGAGCTTCAATTTAGATGCTACAATAACAAACAATTGAGGCAGTTCAAGTTCTGAGAAGATTAATTGATATTTCCAAAATGATCTGTGTTTTCATTCTGATTCACAATTCAAGTTAATTTTATGTTTTTAGTTCATACGGAACTAAAAAACTATTAAATAAAGATGCAGGTGTGATGAAGCTTCAAAGCTTGCATTACTAAAGTAAAGTAGAACAAAGTGACAGCTTGTATTGAAGATGAAGTGTCACATGACTGGTGGTGTACAAAGATTCGCAGGTGTCTCAGAAACGCTCCATTTAGCTGGACAGCATTGACAGTTTCATAACTGTGCGATTGGGTATTTGTGCTTAAGGAAGAGAGGAGGTTAACTAAAAAATTCAAGCTATGCATTTTTCAACGGAGTTAATGCTTTTCAACAAATTATTCTTCATTTATGCTTAAAAACTTGAACTTCAATGCATCACATTGCCTTTGTGAACTGTCAGACATACATCAGCCCAAAAGAGTACTCACAGAACTACCAAATCTGTTAATGTTTATGTTAAACATGCACAAAAACTGTAAAATCTATTGGCTTTCTGACAGTGCAAGGTTTTTTTTTATTGGCAACATACTTTTGCAGTATTATATATACCTAATCTGCACAACAACAGACTACACAGGCAGTTTTATATCACGTTCTTGGAGCTTCAAGGCTTTGTTAGCTTCATATCTGCTATTAAATTTAGCTCAAGCAAAAGGTCATGAAGTCATTAGCTTACTGTTAGTTGGTCTTGTGAGGAGAACTGGAGAAAGGACACATGTAGGAGGCAGAAATAACCTTCACCTGGAGTGACACTTAGAATAAGTAACTGTAAAAGCAGCCAGTAACCTACAATTATACTGGTCCAAACTTGGCTAAACACACAACAACAATGAAACTGGACAGGAGTACTTCCACCATTTTTATGCCACAGTATGCTCCTCCCACAAAGGGAGGAGCATACTGTAATCATTTCCTGTTTCAGCCCATTTAAACAAAATCTTCTAAAGAAACAAGAAATAAATAATTAGAACATTATTCTGAATGGAGTTCAGAAGAATGTCTAAGCAAACCTATGTCACCTTATCCCTCTGTTTTCACCGCACGCCTTAAAAATTCAAGTCTGCATTAGCAGCATTAGCATGTGGGCGAGCAAACATTTTGGTATGCTAGCTAAAATAGGGTACCAAAATTATGTTATTTACAGGAGCTAGCCACAAAGGTCACAATCTTTAGTTAATTTGGTTTATATTTCCAACTCTTCTTCAAACACACACACTTTTGTAGCATAGTCTCATTTTTTCTTACCTTAAGTTTTGGGTCCAGTCTTTCAAACAGAAGAAGGAAGAGTCTAGTGATGTTACGAGATGTGCCGAGGCTTCGGAGCGTGTGTCGAGTAATGCAGGGGGCGTTTCCGCGAAGCGCGTATCGAGGCTTGCTTCATCTAGGGGTGGAGCCAAAATTGATGACGTCCGAAGCCTCGCTGCCCGGCTGTACCACGTGATTGCTTCGGGAAGTGGTTCGGATTTTGCCGCGAGGTTTTACAGCTATATAGACCCCTCAGGCTTCATTCAAAATGTGGGTTGTTGAAGGAGAGTTGCGGTCAGTTGAGAGTTTGGAGAGAGTTTGGAGAGTTTGCATACTAGATTTTGGATAGCGTTTGGATAGTTTGGAGATAGTTTAGATAGTTTGGAGATAGTTTAGATAGTTTGGAGATAGTTTAGATAGTTTGGAGAGTTTGGAGATAGTTTGAAGAGTTTAGGGAGAGAGAGAGGAGAGGAGAGGAGAGGTGATAGGATGGAGCCAGCGAGGAAGAGGAGGATTTCCCCTGTGTGGGAACACTTTGATTTGATAACTCCTAACAAGGTATGCTAAATCCAACATTCTTACAGACGCATAATTTTTGCTTATTAAGAAATATTTTTCACGTTTTCTTATTTTATTCAAAGGTGAGGTGTTTACTGTGTTCCAAGGAGTTGGGATACAACAACAACACCTCATCCATGCTAAGGCATTACCGTGCCTTGCATGAGAATAAGGAGGGAACTGGAGCTTTATCTAGCCAAGGTAAGTCATAACAATATTACAAAAACACTATCACAATTTTTCCATGTTCACTTTTGTTTATTGTGCAAAGAAAGACAAGTAACACTGTACTTATTTTCTGTTTACCAGCCACCAGAAAACAGGAGCTAGATGATGCCCTGGCCTCCATGATAGTGAAGGACACACAGCCCTTCAGCATTGTGGAGGATGTTGGGTTTAGGGCATTTGTGTCCAAATTGGATCCTACCTATGTTATCCCTACCAGGCAGGTATGTATAGGTGCATGCATGAAGCAAATGTACTTAATTGTATGTGTCACAATTCAAACAGATTAAGTACTTTATATATTTTCCATTAGGCTCTGAAGGCCATGGTGGAGGCCAAGCATGAGGCAGCAAAGGAGAAGGCTAAGGCTAAACTTGAAAAGGTGGCTGCCGTTAGCCTAACCTCCGACATGTGGACATCCATCAACATGGATGCCTACCTGGCTGTAACATGCCATTTTGTGGACGAAAGAACCAGGCTCAGCTCAGTGCTGTTGGGAGTGCAGGTATTCCCCCAATCACACACTGCTGAAAACATAGCTCGTGTGAAAGCCTCCCTGATGGAGGAATGGGGAATCACCAATAAGGTAACATGTATGGTTACCGATGGTGCTCCCAATATGGTTGCGTGTGGGAGAGAGCTGAAGCTTAGGCACCATATTTGCATAGCACATACCCTCAATCTGATCGTGAAGAAGGCACTTGAACAGAGCCCCGTGCTTTCTGGCATCCGGGCTAAAGCAAGGAAGCTGGTTGGCTTCTTCAGAAGCAGCACCACTGCTAAGGTATGGTCATTCCCTTTATTCCAATTTATTACAACATTAATAGTTTGTGTTCTTTCTGCAGCTATTTAATGGCCTACTCATCTGTGTCTTTAAAGGAGAAGCTTACACAAGTGCAGGTTCAGCTGGGTAAGGCAACAATGAAGCCATTACAAGAAGTGGAAACCCGGTGGAACAGTACATATTTGATGCTGCAACGTTTGGTGGAGTTGAGGGAGCCAGTTGGAGCAGCGTTAGCTGGGCTTCAACATGACATTCAGATGATCACATGTGATGAGTTTAACATTGTTGGAGGGTGCCTTTCGTTGCTGTCTCCCTTTTATTATGCCACTGCAGAGCTGTCGGCGGAAGAAACTGTGTCTGCCTCCAAAGTTGTGCCCCTTATGAAAATGCTGGAGCAAAACCTTCAGGAGGAAATGGCGAAGCCGGCACCTGCAGTGGCACTGGAAATGGGAGACCAGCTCATCAGGCAGCTACGGGAGAAGCTGTATACTCTGCAATCAATGAGCATAATGTCCCTTGCAACACTCCTGGACCCCCGATTCAAGGTCATTGGATTTTTTAGTCCAAACAAAGCCACTGAAGCAGTGAAGCGACTTACATCGGAGTGTGCTGCCATTGTAAGGCAACAACAAAGAGGAGAGGAAATCCCCCAGGCTTCTACCTCTCATGATGTCACTGGAGGTAATCTGTTACTTAACATTTTGACATCATTTATTCCTATAAGAACACTTACTAACATGATCTGTGGTTTCCTCTTAGGTAGCAAATTGTGGCATCATTTGGACACTAGTGTCATGGAAGCAAGGAGGTGTCAAAATGTAACAGCAGATGCCACTGTGGAGGTCCAGCGGTACCTTTCTGAGCCAAACCTAGGACGACTGGAGAACCCTCTAGAGTACTGGGAGAGGCAAAAAATTATGTTCCCAAATCTATACAAACTTGCTCTTGCCTTTTTGTGCACACCAGCATCCTCTGTGCCTTGTGAGAGGGTGTTCTCCAAGGCGGGAGAAATTGTGTCCAAAAAAAGAAATCGTCTAAAACCAAAAACTGTTGAAAAACTTCTGTTCCTTAATAAAAACGAATGAAACTTCCCCTGTCCTGTACATACAAGTAACACAAGCATAATCTTTCATAGTTCCACAAGCACTTTCACCATCCCCTGCCTGATTATGCCCATGCCATTTCCAGAAAAACATTGCACAATCTGCCGTACTACAATATTACCATTTTGGGAGAATTTACACACAGAATACATCCAAAATTTATTAGACACATATGTGATCATTTATGTTCAGAGATTATTTGTTCATACATTTTTTGTAATTCATAATCATTCCCATCAGACATAACAGACACAAAAATTCAATGCTTCACACATTATGTTATTCAGATTCAGCTGCCTGTGATTATATACTTGGCCAGTAGGTGGTTTCGTGTGCATGAAGCTTCGAGAAATGAACCATTTCTTGAACCAATTGGCTCAAGTGGTTCAATGCCTCATGAGGCTTCATTTCACCATCACTAGAAGAGTCCAATGGGATTTATAAAGGGTTGAGACAGGCTGTACCATTTGGTGGAGGGGATGTTCGATTTTTTTTTTGGGGGTAGCCTACTTTTTAAAAGTAAAACATCAAACACCCCCTCCACCCTAGGTCCAAATGGTACAGCCTGTCTCACCTCCTTATAAATCCCATTGGAATCTTCCTTCTTCTGTTTGACAAACTGGACCCAAAACTTGAGGTAAGAAAAACTGAGACTTATGCTACAAGTGTGTGTGTGTTTGAAGTAGAGTTAAAAATATAAACCAAATTAACTAAAGATTGTGACCTTTGTGGTTAGCTCCTTTGTGGCTAGCTCCTGTAAATAACATCATTTTGGTACTCTATTTTAGCTAGCATACCAAAATGTTTGCTCGCCCACATGCTAATGCTAATGCTGCTAATGCAGATTTGAACTTTTAAGGCATGCGGTGAAAACAGAGGGATAAGGTGACACAGCTTTGCTTAGACATACAGTTATTCTTCACAGTGGAGTCAGAATGAACCGACTTTAGCCTGTGAGGCCTCGCTTTAAAGGGCCAAGTGTTAGCGCCATGGCGGTTTTAAGCTAGGTTGAAATTGTGGCTCAATGTAAAGCTTTAGACAGCTTCAACCTGTGGATTAGGTTTCCAGTGCAGCTTTAAAATAACATAAAGAACTTTTAGTAAGAATGTCAGCAGAGGAGAAACTTGAGTGGAAAACTGTTTAAAAAAAAAAAAGGACTTCTGTCTTCTTGATATGAAGTGCAGAGAGTGAAAAATTAAGAACAGACTCACCACAGGAGTCACGCTACTTTTCAAACACACTTACTACTTCTCTAAGGAACATGTAGAGTGTGTACGTGTGTGTCCATGTGCATCAAAGTATTTCAGGAGGTGTAAGTCACCTTGATGGTGTGCACTACCTGTGATTTTCATTGCTTTGGCAGACAGTCAGGTCCAACACTCAGAGAGTCGGGAGGCATCAGTTTAGAGAGCTTTAGGCATCTTCATCTGAATTTCCAAGTGTTGAAGAGGCCACATGATGTCAGATGATGTTGTTTGTGTGCGTCCTCAGCAGAGCGAGATGGATTAGCCCTCAGTTTAAGCCATCCCGGTGAAAACACAACCTGACAGCACGGCTCCCTCTTGAGAGAGGCAGAGAGGAAGAGAGCCGAGGTCGAATTCTATTATTGAAATCGTATCCCATCTTAATATTGAAATTGGAGCTACATGCTGAAAGCCATCATCTTCCATCTCCTTCTCTTGTTCCCTCTCTCCCCCCCTCATCTACCTCCTCCTCCCCTTTTCACCTCCCGCTTTCTCAAAGGAGAGCTGACAGACTTGGAGTGCAGGCCAGGCCAGACAGGAAAGCATTTAGTTTGAAGGGGGGATGACGTGAAGGAGGGAAGAGTGAGGAAAAACAAGAAGGGATAGACATGAAATGGAGCAAACAGAGCATTCAGAGAGAGAGAGAGGAAAAGGGGGAGAAAATCTTGAAAGTGATCCTGCCCTTCTATCTCAGTGTGATCCTCTTTTTCTCAGTCGCTCCTCCCTTCCCCTGTCCCTTTCTTCTTCTCTTCCTTCTGAAGTCTGAAATCTCCAAGGAAGCTGGCTCGTAAGGCCTAATTTATTTACCAGCGTCACCCCAGCTGTATCACTTCGTCATTAATTTAGCAATGTCACATTTTGTGGGAGCAGTTGGACACGAGCCCATGCCATGCAGCAACCACACAGAACCTACACGCTGTGGATCTCATCCATAAACATATTTGCTGTTATTACTATTCCCAGCAGAGTTAAAGCACTCGCTATGAACCGCTAATGAGCCCGATCTGACCTATATATTCAAATCATAGATGTACTTCTGCTACCAGCAGTTTGGCCCATTATCATGAATCTTCCCCCCGTTTGCTTACACACCACTACATGGGACTAATGTGTTTTTATCATTTGTTTTACAACCCAGAACACTTTCCATGAATGTCAAAACAGAGAAAATAAGCCTCTGAGGCAGGCTTGTTAAAGTTTGTATTCGAAGAATTTAAGATAAATGTATGCAGCAGAGTCAAACACGCACACACAGTATAGTGAGATGCTTAAATAAATCACTACTACCATCACATAGACCAAGCTCCTTTATGCTTGATAATAATAAATGTATGAAAGACAGAGACCCTAGGAGGTAGTGGAAACTGTAAAAAGGAAAAGTGTGTTTGAGTGTGCCACTACCCAGTCTTCGCTGCTCACTTGCCCGCTAAACATCCAGGCTAGTATTACATTGATTTTGCATCACTGGCTTAACGGAGTACACTCCAATTCATCATCAAACACATTCATTTATGAAGTACGAAAATAGTAAAAGTTTGATGCAGAGCTCTCAATTATATGATAGCGTAATGAAGTAGGCTAATAATTCTCAGTGCTGGAAGGGTCTTCTGCAAAATGTCAAATGGACTTAATTTATTCATCAATAACCGTGCAGAGTTCATTTCAGGCTCTTAGAAAATCATTTCATTTGGCTTGTTTTTGTAGAGGCAGTGAATGAATATTGCGTCTAAATGCTTTTAAAGAGTCCAGCAGAGGGAAGGAGAAAGTCAAGCAGTTTCATGCAGCTGGGTTTAAAGGGATGAAACTGCAGTGGTTTGCTGGATTTTAACCTTTGTGCATGCAAAATGTGCAAGGCATGTGTGTCACATAAGATCTTCTACTCGGTGGACATTTTAATGTAATCTCATCCTCAGTGGGGTGCAATGGCAGAGATATTAGTCGTATAATTCTGTGTAGTGCAGCAGAAACAGCCTGAAGTAGAAAAGAGATTACTATATCTTTTTTTTCATACTGCAGACTGGCAGGGGTTAAAGCTGATATTGTGCTTTTATATGGCCAGGTCAACACATGTTGTCCAAACTAGCTGCAGGACCTTAATCATAACTCTGGGTAAATGCTGCAAAGTCTGCTTTGTCCATCTATAGTAGAGGTAACAATGGCCTCATTCAAACCCTGACGTGGTTAGAGTTATTCTACCAATGTGTAAAGTGCCAATCAAATATAGCCAAAATTTTTCAATAGAAAAGCAATTTAATCTTTTTGTTAAAGGGATATTCAGGCAAAAAAAAATATTTTGAGTCAAACACACTGCAACATCGAGTTAGACACCCCCTCAAGAGATGAATTTGCGACTGCTTGCTTCTCTAGTTATACCAACCTCAGTAACGACCACACGATAGCAATACACAGCAGTCTGAGGAGCCATAAACAAACCTCAACCAAAAAGCCACTCTATAGCCACAAATAATGCTCAGAACAGCACCTAACTTCATCAACAGGACATATAGGGTCCCAGCCATAGAACTAGCCACCAAACATCTTTTTAACTTTGCCTAATTTCTTTAGCAAACAGACTAAACACAACTCACCCACTCTCTTCCAGCAGCCGCTTGTTTGTAGTGAGACATCAGGCCAGTCCATTACAGACTACAGCGGGGGTGACCAATATGATTATTATTACTTCAAGGAAATGATAAAGAAATTATCATAATGGTTCTTCCTAGAGCTGCGTCACGCCGCAAATTAATTTTATGCCGGAAAACCCCTCTTAAAAAACTTACTTACCAAAAAAATTATGGTTTAATGGCAGCATAACTCCTCTTTGCTTCACAGCACTCCCCACTTTTTCATCGTCAACAATTTATGTGTCAGAACACCTCAAGATACAGCAGTACAGTATAAATTTGGCTTAATGAATTATTTAAACTCCATTATACCCATTACTTACATTATTACTTACATTATTTACTTCACTCTTAAGAGCATACAACTGGGACCAGTAGAATTTATGAACACACACTTTTAATGGCCTTGAAACGGTGAAAGAAAAAGAACAAAATGTTCATTGTGTGTATGTGTGAGTGGTGGAGATATGCCCAGAGATCAGTAAGAGTGTGTATGAAATAGCGAGGCAGGAAGGGTTCTCCGTACGTGTGTTTGGGTTAGGGGTAAATGTGCTCTGTATGAACCTGCACTCCTGCATTTTTTGTGTCACATTATTAATTAAAAAATAAATCCAGGAAGGCACAAGAGATAAAATAAATCTAGAAGTATATGGGAGGATTTAATTCAATGGTTTTTGAGACTCAAGGACGAAACAAGGCCGAAAGAGTAACTCTCCAGATTTCTATTTGTCCATTAAACGCACCATCATTACCATTACAGCACTAATTAAACCACAACAGTGATGAAGGTTTTACTCTAGTGCTGCGCTGTGCAAGTCAGAGATAAGTTTAAGAACGTGTTTTAACAACTTTTCTTGAGGCTTTAGGGTTTTTTTTCACAGGGTTAGAATATCCTTTTTTTTTTCCTGTTAGTGGTTCATGTTTAAAACATACCTTTAATCAGTGTTTCCCATGTATGTGTATCATTTCGAATGCCTGTGAGTGATTTCCTGTCTCTTTAAGGAACACTGTATGCAGTAAAAAAAAGAAATCCCAAGATAATTCAGTTTCATTTGGCCTGACTAATTAATTCATTGTATCAGCGTCTAAAGTAGCCATCATAAATGGCCAGAGAGAATTTTTTGAAATCCATCCCACTCAACTGCCTCAGGCTTTCTTAGCAAGTCAATACAGCTGAGTGAGTGTTTGTGTGTCACAAAGGTGAAAATCTACATTTATACCCGAGAACAATTTTTAACTGACAGTGAAGAAATGCCAAAAGCATTAATGCACACAGCACACACGTAAACAGAGAGGCGAGAATACCAGCGCACACACCAAAACGCACTTTACAAAAAGATGATGGGGTTTTTTTTAGTCCAAATGCCAATTTTTTGCTTTCACCTTAGTAAAATGTATGCAGTGTGAACTCAGCCAGATTTGTGAGTCTGAGTTTGTTCTGTATGCCTGCTGACTTGTGAGCAAGAGTGTGAGTGGGTTCGTGTATGTGTGTGTCTGCATATGTGTGGGCATAGATGTCACAGCAGCAGGCGGGGAAGTGTTGATAACTTATTTGGCATTTTGACAGCGATAAAGGACATTTGTTGCCCTTAGCTATAAACAAAAACACACACAAGCATGCAAATACACATCAAAGTTGTACGTACGGCAGCAAGATTTGATCAAATGAGTATAAAGATTTAAAAACATCTGCAGCTAAACACAAAAGACAAAAGAAATTGTCGTTTTTCACCCACATCCTACTGAAATAACACCGGAGATGTACCATTTTTGACAGGAAGCAGCTACAGTATGGACAAAGACATAAAAGCCCCCAACAGCAACATTTCCTCACTTAGACTTTGTGCACCATACACACACACACACATAAAAGCCTGTTCCCCCACCCCCACAAATATTGATGCACACATAGACAATCACTTAGGCATGTTGTTGCATGCATAATCATTACATCCTCTGAGCAGCTAAACAGTTTAACAGAAGGTGATGCTTCAGAGATCACAATTGTTTCTTTAGGGCTTAAGGATGGATGCAAATTAAGTCTTTCAGTGAATTTTTGGGTGGGTGAATGCGCGTTTGTTCACATATTTGGGTGTCACTTTGAGGAAAATGAAGGAATTAAAGTCTCTGTGTATCTTCAAAGCCTTTGATAGAGTTTAGAGTAGCGAGCCCAGATTAAAATGACATTGGGAACAATTGCACCACAACACCCTGAAGCATACTAGCCCACACAAATACTTTATTTGCATTCAGCTGTATGCAAGAAAAACTGACATTTTTGAGGAAGTAAAAAAGGGGGATTAAGAAAGTAGAGTTGTTCAAGTACAGGTAACATGACTGATATTACTTTTGATACTAACTCAAAAAAAAGTATCAGGTTATGATCAAAGGCGGCAATGGTGCAAGGGTGCCTACTAACATATATACCCACCCAGCAAAAAGTGCTTGAAAAGACGTCTTCACCATACGTCTAAACAACGTCTAGGTTCGTCTAAATAAAGCTCAGTTGTAAATTCCTTTTTTTGGGCTAAATTAGGACGGAAACGGACCGTCAAAACACAGCTCAGTTTTCAACGTCCTTTGTGTAGGCTAAATTATAGCCATGACGGGCCGACATAATTAAGCCTGAAAAAAGAAACCT